TAAAGCGCGCCTCCCCCCCCCGCATCTTCGTTGACGTACTCGTCAGAACGTTCTCACGGTTGACTCGGCTTCTGTGCGTTTAGCCACCGTTTTTATGTACACACATGCGCTCATGTGTGTGCGCCTCCACCTACGTGACTTTGCAGTCTAAGGGTAGGGGGGAAGCATTTCTTAACAGCGGAGCGCTGCGACGCGTGAGAAAGTAGAAAATATGTCGCCAGTTATGACTTTCTTTAAACCTGCTACACGTGGTCCTACATTTGAGACGATATAACCAACGCTCAAGACAGAGCAGCAAACTGGAGTAACCGCCAGAAAGCACGCAGAGAATGCTTGTGGGGTGGGATCACTGCTGAGCCGAATCCCTCGCAGCTGGGTCATTCGGTGAATAAATATCGGTGAGAAACGTAGCTGAGCTTTTATCTAGTACCTGTGTTGCCGTCGTGCAGCTTCCGGACTTGCGCATGCTCTCTTCGGTCGGCTGGTTCAGTGGTTTTACTATAGTATTAATAATTAATGCGAGGGTTAGCACTGCAGGTGTTTGCCGGGGTAGGGAAAAATACTAGTCAACCACCGCGACGTTATGTTTATTATTCTTAACTTTTGAGATCGTCCGGGAGTTCATCGTCAGAGTTAGCCTTCGATAACACATGCAGGAACATCACGGAGGATATGGCACGCGTTGGTGCATACATCGCGGACGTCTCAGAAGCGACTGAGCTCACGGTTACAGGACTAGGTGTTGGAATTGCACACCGTCGCAACGATACTATGCAACAGCAGGGTCATAAGACTCAAAGAGCGAGTAAATCACAGGGAGCAATCTCGGGATAGTGTATCGCATCTCGTGCCTAAACTGTCCTTGTCAATAGGCAGGTCAAAGTGAACGCATGCTCCAAACACTGGCTAACTGTGCATCGGGCGACGAACCTTCGCAAATAGCTAGCCACACCTACGAAGGAGGACATTATTTCAACCTCTTCGGCGGACGCTTCTTAAGGTGGTCTTTAGGGAATTTAATCCATGCGAAACCCAAGCCGCCTTACAACAGTTCAATACGGAAATTAAGAATCAGATCGTGTAAGGTAGGCGCAGGAGCCTATTTATCTGAGCCTGAATCTCCCTTCGCTGACCTGACTTTCGTTAATGAACGTTCACGTGACCGCTAACTGGACTCATCTGTCCCGTTCTGCCTTGGATCTCGCCAGAGGCCCTGACAGCCGTAATAGCTGGTAGTATAGGCAGATAGTATTGCCGGCAAAGACGAGAGACCCAAGACAAGACTTCGGTTTGCCATCGGACTCTGATAGTTGAGGAAGGAGAGAATGCGTTAGATGCTGCACACGTTTGCCTTACTCGAAACGAATTTCCTTAAAATGTCGTGCATTGTTGGTTTAGGGAGGGGGGTTACCTCATTCTAGGGTGGTGCGAGATGTTGTGGGTGGGACACAGACCGCAGTCATATGGTCATTCAGGTCATCCTTCGCTTCATTTGGATGGGCCATGGGCTCGTGCCTGCCCTTTCTCATTTGGGGTTCTTGTGCGAGTTCCTCTTATTGGCTTGAGTTGCCATCTTCTATTCTCAGCCAATCTAGCCTCTTCAGCTTTTCATTTACTGTGGAATAATTTTGGTAACGGTCAAACTATCTCCACGCGGACCCTCAAAAGTTTATAGCTACTTGGAAAGCCCTCGAAAATTTTCGGGATCAGAAACAATCAATTCCTGTGGAAAAAGTTCTAAGGGTCCTTAGAAAAACGCTCAACTGCGGAGACGACCAGGTCAGACTGCTTATTAACGGGGCCCCTGAACCTTAAATAAACAATTATTATTCTACTGGCGAGGACACCATTCCGCAACTACAATGCCGGAAACTACTACGCATTAAAATGCAGCAAATGGAGACGTTATCTGAGCCTGCTAACCTGCAGTCAAGCGTCAGATGTTACGAAAAATCTACACCGATGATTTCGTCATTATCCGCCAGTTAACCTGCTGAATACATCCATTTCGCATGGCACTGCTATTTATCTCTCATCTGTGGTTCCACTTACTCGTGTTGAATACGGCACAGGGCAGCCACATTTCGATAACCATCTTAGACCAAGGGGTAACACCAACTGAGAGCATCCGATATGCCTATTCGCATCCGGTATCTGCTGAACCAATCCCCAGGCTCCATCGTCATCCATAAGCCGGTGGTCCTACGGAGAAGACGGCTTGCAACCCCGCAGGTGGCTCAGGATAACTTGTGTCCCCTTTCTACTAAGCTAAAGTCCAGAGCGCGAGTGAAATTTAACAGTCACCTGGGATGACTAAGCAGTCTTATTTATAGGTAGTACCGGGGAGGGTAACAGAAGGTCTGTCTTAATTGCTGATGAAAAGTGCTGTTAGACAGCTGGGCGTGGATGGTGGGCACAAAAGTACCATGGAAACGCTGAACGAAACAACAACCACCCTCGTTTCCATCTCTGGGCCTCTATACAGACTGCCAAAGTGACCACCTGAAATGATGACTCCTTTTTAGAAAATTCGCTGAGCAACAGTGCAGAAGGAAATATGGTAAAAGTTACTTTGACCGCCTAGCTTAAATACCCTAGTCCCTACTCATGCGGTTACTTTTACTTTAATTAGGCATACTATAGTTTTAGTTTAGTTTTAAGTTTATTGAGATACCACCAAAAATGGATAGATATAATTAAATAACTACTTATAGAATTACGTACCCTATAACCAATTGCGTATGGCCAGTCTGGTCCTTACTTGGTAATCCATTTAAACGCGTAGTCCTTTAAATTTAATTAATAACTGTAGTGAAACAATTGTAACCGTCCTATAACTGGAGGTGATTAGAAACAAACATAAATATTACGATTGCAATCAAAGTTGTCAAGTTTAGGAGCAACAAGTTAATGTCAGTTTGCCTAAGAGCAAGGTGATAAATTAAAAAATTAGTAAGGAAGTTAGGGGAAACAAAAAAGTGCGTAATTACTCCAAAAAGATTATCAACTATAGGATTAACAGTATGATGTTGACTAATACAAAAATGTAAAATAAAGGGCTTTAACGTTAATGTCAAAGGTATAAACTGTAAAGTAATGCGTCTAGTGGTACAAGGAGGCTAAGAGTTATGTCGCTTTTAAATCAATGGAAGTGGCAAAGTGCAACTACTATATACTAAAATAACTTCGCTTATCTAAGCTTTACAAAACTGACTAAACTAAAAGCTAAACTACAGTCAAACTTAACTTTCAAGTAAACTTTGCTTCCAACTTAACTTTCACCAGAAAGAGAGCCGTAGTCGTCCGAGTGCCAATGTGATCCACGATGAACATCGCAGACTTCACCGAGTCCCATTTCTTTGTACAGAGGCAGCTAGGAAAGCGTGATTGAGGCACGCATTTTCAGAGAGGACGCAGAAGCCAGATCGGCAGGCTGCAGAATTTGTTTGACCATCATGATCCAAATCATGGAGTGGCTCTCGTGTCTGCCGCAGGAAATCGACTCCTACCTCATGTCATTGCACTTGCCTATCCGTTGGAACAAAGTTGTTACTGTCATTTGGGGTTACCAAGAACCAATGACTATATATATTGACTTGAAGTTCTACGAAGATCTGCACGACCTCATAATGGCTATATTGCAAGTGAACAGTTTCATAGCCCTTGATGTCCACGTCGCTCCAGACTTACAGTGCTAGGTCACTATACCAACACATCCCTCCGCTTTCTGGTCTGGGAGAGACTGACGTGGGAACATCTTCGCTTTCACCACTGGTAGTTTTTGGGCTACTTTCTCGTCTAGAGGTGTGCAACCGTGATGTTCTGTAGACGAATGCGCTGTGTGGTTCTGATTGTTTGGTGGATCACTGCTTTGGCCCCTCCAAGATGAGAATTTAACCGCAACTATCTAGACTATCACAGGGTGAGAAATCCCCAAGTCAGCTAAATAGTGATCGCATTGAGAGGAAGGCAAAAACAGCTTATGTAGTCCTCCTCAGATACTACTAGTCCCACGGAAGCGGCGGTTATACGGTTTTGGGGGTGGGAAAATAGGGTAGACAGAGAAGGAAATTTTTAGAATTGTAAAGTTAAAAAAATTAAGTCGAAGTTGTTTCCCGTGGACGCTACGAGTAAGTTGTTTCGCATGTTCCGCTTCGCGCCGCGGACTATACTAATCTGACTCCAGGAGGATAATTTGAATCTCAGGTAAGTTAAAGTAGATGACCTTCTATCCACCCTTTCCATCTTTTCAGGCTTTTCAAGAAACCGGCATTTTGAAAATCGTGTTTTTTCGCAATGCCTTAAACAATAATACAGATTAGGAAAATCTACAGATATAAATCAACGACACTTGTAAATACGGTAAAATGAAAATCTATTTAGCAGTTATTAAAGTATATTCCATTGCGTGTCGTAACTCCCACTCACGAAACCCTATAACCACCGTTTTCGTAGGACAACATGCTAAGAATAGGGATTAATGAGGGGGACTACATAAGCTGCTGTTGCCGAGAGGAATTTCATCGCAGCCAACAAAGCATGCTGAAGTCCTCATGCCAAGAGGAAGGCTCTACTACTGAGCCGAGAGGTAGCAACCTCAAAAATACAAAAGTCGCAGATACTGAGGCGCTGGACAGAGTGCTTCTAGGGCATCCTCAACCGCTCGCCCAAAAACTGTGAGGAAGCCACTAAACGACTTCAAAATGTGAACACACAAAACTACCTGGGTCGATTACCTGACCTCCCACAACCAATGAAAATGATGGCAAAAGTTAAAATATGAGGCGATCCACGACGCGTGACAAACTCACTTTAGAAACAGAAGATGCGAAATTTGGAACAACATATTTATTGGCCTGACTTTGGATTCTCCCCCCAATCCATCAACAAAGGCAATGGTAGATAATGACTGTGAATACGCAAGACATTTACTGAATGGTCGAGAATATGCGAGGCCCAGGTAACTAAAAAGAAGAAGGTAGGACGTTCCCTGGGACGGAGAGTGTATTTGTCCGACGTTTTAAACCCTCCCGTGAGCTCATTGTCAAGGAACGAAAAAACGTACAGCTCTCAGTGTAAATAAGTCGGTTCTGCCGGGATTGACCTCTGCCCTCGGTCTGCTCACGCAACGCGAGGTAGGCATCTGGAAGCTCGATATGCCTGGTAATTGAGCCCGCGCGTGAATGCCATGCTTCCTGCAGCAGGCGTGAAGTTCG